CTCCCCCGATGGCGCGCCACCTTGTCGTGGTGGGGGAGCTTAGGCGGGCGCTCGGCCTGGAACCGTCTGTGTGCCGCTTTAGGCTCCGGCGGTTCCTTTGGCTGGGCGTCCGCTGACCAAGAGCGTGCCACCCTCCCTCCATTTTATGGGGGGAGGCATGGAGCCCGGCGACTCCGGTCTCGGCTGCCTCGACACCTGTCGAGGCAGTTCCGAGACCACTCGTCGGTAGGGGATGAGGACCCCGACTACAAACCTCCGGCTGCTGGGGCCGTTAGGGGGGAGCTTGCTCCTCCCACCAGCCATGGAGGGGAGAGAATCCCAGACGCCATTGCACGCCGGTGTTCCGGCAGGCGTCTGGGGTTCGGGGGGAGGCCACCGTCACCCATTGCACGCCGGTGTTCCGGCAGGGGGCGGTGGCAAGGGGAGCTCCTCCGCCAACGAGCTCGTCGTGGACGTGCTCGCGGGCGGAGGAGGGCCGGACCCCGGAGGCACTACGGGACGTGGTCCCGGCCGAAGGGTGGGCCGGAAGTCGTGGCCTCCCCGCGGTTGACTCGGACGTGGTCCGTGTCTTCCGGGGGGAGGGGCCGGACCTCCGCGGTAAACTGGACTCCAGGATCCGCGGAGTGGGAAGGCAGCCTGAAGCTGGGCGGCAATCTGCCGCTCAGCGCCCTCCTGTTTCCGTGAACTCGTCAACCCCTGTGTCTGGGGCCGACGTCCCGCTGCTGGGGCGTGCGGCCTGGCATAAGGGGGGGGCGAGGGAGTGGGAGCAGGAGGGAGGAGGGGAGAGTCCCCTCGCGGCTGGGTCGGATGTAATCCGGCCCTTCCGGGAGGGGGGGGGCCCCGGGTACACGTCGGGTCCTAGACCCGCGTCGCCCGGTTGGCCCGGCAAGGACGGGGGATCGGGGCCGCTCGGACGTTTCCGAGGCAGGGTCCGGTCTCCCGGAAGACCCCGGGGGCCGCTGGGACGTATTCCCAGGCAGGGCCTCGGGGTCTGAGGGGTTGGTCGGCAAGCCTGCCGACCAACACCCGGTCTTCCGTGACGAAGCAGTCAGTCCCTGCGTCTGGGGCCGACGTCCCGCTGCTGGGGCGTGCGGCCTGGCGTACGGGGCTGGCTGTGGAGGACGGAGGATCGGTTCGTGTGCATGGTGTGTGTGAATGGGCCGCGGCCGGCTGCCGGTGGATATTTCCCTGA